TCATGCTCGGCTCTGTGATAACCTGAAATCTAATTTAACGGGTATTTAATCGAAATTCATTAATTTTATGCAAGCTTTACATACGTTATTAAATAATGTCAATTTATTTTATTTATTCAAGATATTTTTCTAATGTCAACGTTAGGTAGGTAAGTATAAGAATAAGATATTTAGATCTGTGAATAATGTGAGGTTTAAAACTAATATGTTGATGGAATTTCCAAATATCAGCAGTTCTTAGTTTTTTACTTTATTCAACGACGTTTCGTACACAATATGTATATAACGTGAAAGATGACGTAATTTTGGATGGCGTATAGGGAAATGGCCGTGACCTACTTTAGTGTATCATTATAGCCTGTTTATTGGAAAACTCTACGTCAGCAACATACGTTTCTGAGCAGGCAAGAATTATATTTGGAACCACCAGTATACAGACTAGGAGCAGACCGTTCAAATTTATCGCCAATTGCTTTTTGGTTATTGACAATACCGATGAGGAACACTGTAATTAGTATATCTGATGTAAGCATTCAGTTCGAAGGCTTCAGTATTTGGGGAGAAAGGGCAGGTAGGAATTAAAAGGCTTTGCTCAAGCTACGGTGTTCGGATTCCTTTCGCGAGATTAATGTCACTGTCCTCTATCTTTGTCCGTTGCTTGGTTACGTGATAATAAGACGCTGTTAGAATTATAAAACAGTTGGATTTTCTTCTTCTAAACTTAACTGATATTGCACTGATTCCTAGCGAGGTAAATTTATTTCGCATTTACATTTCGGACGCGAAGCCATCAACGTTTCTTTTGCATTTTCTCCAAGGTGTAGGAAATGAAGCTCCTAAAGGTAAAATAACTACAAATTCGTGTTTTAAAAAGTAACGTCTTGGACTAAATTTGTTTTTATGCAAAATTAACTATATCAAACATAGAGACATTCTTTACAAGCTAATTTTCCCGCCTTTCATAAAAATCGAAAATTTGTTTGTGTGTTCACAAGAGCCGGCCATTGGTCACTATCCTCAATTTAATTAAATCCAACCTATAAACTCCCACCCTATTTCCATAAGACATATTTTAATATTATTCAATAATAATATTATTCCTTCAAGTTTACAGATAAAATTTTGTACAAAAATGTAAGAAACATTAACTTAATCTTTGTACAAGGTAAATTATTTTTCTCTTAGTGTTTTGGTTTATAGATGACATTGTTTTGTTACTTCAACACTTATGTTGGTAACATTGATCATTTGTACCATCTTCTCTTTTACACATTTAATCAGAGTTATCATAACGCAATCAGTAACCACCGAAATTTGAGCCCAGAAAGAGGTTCGGTTTCTCACCAAACAAAGAAAAAAGTTAAACTTCTCGGTGAGTTTATTAATTTTTACGTATAAATATCGTGTTTTATTTTACAATGTTATTAGGCTATTTCATTTGATGTAAACATTTATTCAACAGACAACGTCGTATTTACGTATTATGTTTTATTATTAAATAGCACAAACTAAGATTAACATTCTAGTTGTAGCCAATCTCAAAGTCGTATGATATATCGTTAATTACCCCATGCAAATCATTTTAATGACCGATAAAAACTTCTTAATTAAGTTCATAATTTATGTTCATCACCAAGCATCAATTAAGTTATCGGGTCAAGGTTATATGGACGAGGCATTTAGTATGCATAAGATATATTAGAAAGGTGTACAGATTTTAGTCTTTAAGAGAGAACATTTGAAAAACCTAGACGTAGATGGGAAGTTAAAATTAATAATAAATTAGTAGATTGTGAGGGTGTGTAGTGGATTTAACTGGCGTAGGATAGGATTTGGTAAACACTGCAATGAAAGAGTTGATTCCATAAAAGTCGGGAGACTGTATCACCAGCTGAACAACTATCAGTTTCTCGAGAATTAGCCTCTTTTTGTTTCACCAGTCATCGTAACACAGAGAGATGATTCTTTCTACCCCAATCCGTTATAGAAGGTAAGAAATTGCGTATGAAAAGTGCATTTGTCTTTTCAGCCCCTTTTAAGTTTGAGGCAATAAATAAACATGTGTCTACATTTAAGTTAATGTATTGCCTCTAATAAAAGGTCCGTATGATACAGCATCCTCTAAAGGAAAACTGACGTAGACTGTATCTTGAAGAAAAACTGATGGAAAAGAATGGTTAGTTCATGAATTTTGTCTCCGGCCCCATTTAGCACTGTCTGAGAAAATAAATATCAAAGGTAATAGATTTATCAGCTGAATGTAAAAATTTTCACTGAGATGAACAAAAGCCAGTGAGTAAAAAGGTTAGTCTATTTCAGTGGTCGGCAAACCGTGGGCCGCATTGTGTATTTATTTGTAGAGGGCCGTAGAAAAAAAATCCTAATTCCGTAGACAGTAAGCAAAACTGAATTTATTTAACTGGCAATGTATAATTAGTATTCACTTAAAAACGGATCATGGCTGTATTTATCAGTACAAATGAGTTCACGTAAAGACGTTTATTAGATTTCATACAGTTGTGAATTTCATAAAACCTTTTGTTGTTATTACCACAGTAATTTTCATGTTGTTTTGTTAAATGCCATACGGTTTGATTAACAGAACAATGTACCTTTGCGTGAAAAAGCGATTTTAACATGAAAGACCTACATCTACAGAACTTATGTTCCATTAATATTTTTTTCTCGATTATTTACCTCTACGCTTTTATATATCAATTTTCCTCTCAGTCGCAGAAAGATTTCCCTTCTCTGGGCAATTCCCAAATCATGTGACGATAAACAGAAACGTCCCTAGGGGGGAGAATCATTTTATTCGGGTCCACACTCTAAAATTTCTAGGCGAACAAGAAGTCAAATAATGTGAAAAGACGACCGATAACCTGTAAGTTTAACATCGCTAGGCCGAAGTTGTATATTTATTTTAAAACGTATTCTTCTCTCTGTTCTGCAACTACTATGAGAAAAGTATACTTTAATATCTTCGTATATTAACATTTAATGGGCCTCATAGCACGCACATTAATCGGACTAGGACTTACATGCCCTCTCTTGGTCGCATCATCGTTTCTGTTGTGTAATCAGTGCGCATGTTCTAATGAAGCAAAGAAGGCAGTGCTGAATATTATTTGATCAGCTGTGCCGTCCCGTTGCATAAACCGTGCCGCAACGAGCAGATCCAATATCATTACTATGAAATAAAATTGCCAAGAGGACTAACGTGAATAATACCGGCGATGTCAAATGACTAGCCACTTTGACGATAAATAATTGAAATATTGAGAAAGTGGAGATGGGACTTAAGATCGTGTCCAGTGACGAGCTTCGATACTAGTGATTTTTAAACTTTTGGTTCTGCTACCAGGGAGTTACTTTTACATTTAATTAACATAATGAAACTTTTAAATTCAACATATTTTTATCCCTTTCCCTCTTTCTTTCTTTCCTACCTATATTTTTCTTTTTCCCCAAATTTTCATTTTCATTATTTGTTTCTCTTATGTCTTTCGTACCCTCCAAAATATGCCATTAACACAACAGCAATGAATGAATTATCATTGCTTTGTGTTACGTTATTTGAACCTTTTTCCATTACTTCGCTGTCAAGCGAGCATAAATCTGTGATACGAATAAATATTACAGTCTAATGTCAGGTTTTTATAAAGGAAAATTGTATTATGTTCTGAGTTCAACAACAGCACATATCTTCTTAAGTTTAGCCGTTTTTAACCAAACTTTTGCGTGCGGTTGGCATTCCCTGCCTGCCTCAGCCTCCTCGTTTCGATCACTCTAATAATATAGCTTTAAACTACATAAACCACGTAGTATAGATCGATTCAGTGCCTTGACGAAGCACAGATATGTAAAAAAATCTAATGTTACAATTCGACTATTAGAAGAGAGTTCAGGAAGTCGAAACTTATTCGATTGTCACTGGACCTAAACGCAGTTTATTATCGCAGTTTTATAAACAAGCTCTTGTCTTTGGTTTGTGCTCTTTCAGAGTCTTAGACCTTGTAGTGATACAAGTTATTTTAAAAGTGTCATTTGCGACGTTGCAAAGAATCCTTCTCACAGAACAAATATTTTGTAAACAACCGTACACCGAGCCAGGGAAAATCACCAGGAACACAGACCAATAACAGGGAACATACAAAGACGAAGTTCAGCCACTTAACAGGCATACAGGATAGTAGATAATATGCCCTGATGATAGAGGCAGTATGCACCTCTGAAATATCGACCTACTTCTACCAGAGTATACGGTGCAACATCCTGTACTGTACATCTTCATTGCCATACTTGAAACAACTGAAATAATTAAAATACAAATAATTATTCTTTGTTAGTTAATCCTCGCGTATTTCACTTTGTTTATCCCTAAATCATAATTGTTCTTATGTCCATTTCTTCACTCAGGTACGTCTATTTTGATACATTTCGCTCGCTGTTGTGAGGACTGGGTTCCGTTGTAAGCGATCAGAAAACTAACTAGAGCGGATTCCTGCGCAAGCGCAAGACAGTCCCTAGCTAGGTAACGCCATTCCTGCGCACTATACGCATTGCTGTAAATGGTAAACTGTGTTTTAAAACTAAAACGTAAGTGGGCTTACGCTAACGGGGGTTTTGTAGTGGCGGAAAGCCTTGACTATTCAAACTAGAGCTATTGCTACAGGCGAGAGATGATCCCATCAGGCAACTTGTGTAAAAATTATTTTGGTTGGATGGCTCTCTAGAATTTGAACCCAGAAGTGTTGGGATCACTTTGACTGAGGGCCTCACAGAAGTGCCCACCCCACACATTGCAGACGTCACGGGGGGGGGGACACGCTTTCTGACACTATATGTGCAATAGCGGACTTTGGTAATAACGCTATTGAACATTTCTGATTCTTCTTTGGAGTCTTAGGAGTTAGAGAAAATAAATTCTTGCAGATGTCAGCACCGAACCTTATCACATGGTTCCCATTTGTAAACATTGCACGTTCTGGGTGTCTCAGGTTCACGAATACCAGTGTGTACGTGGGGCTGTCCTACTACGCGCCAGTACTCGGTGGTGACGAGTTCCTCAACTTCTTCCTGGCAGGAGCAGTTGAACTGCCCACGTACTTTTTCCTGTGGCCCGCCATGGACTGTTGGGGGCGGCGCTGGACTCTGTGCACAAGCATGATAATAGGAGGCGCTGCTTGCCTTGCCACCTTCCTCGTGCAGAAAGGTGCGTACGAGAGGACACAGCAGAGTCCTTCTTGAGGAGGTAATGATCTCGTCAAAAAATTCCCAGCCTTCTACAAAACCCAAAAGTTCGTTACCACATTCACAAAAGCCTACCACCGGTCCCTATCCTGAGCCATATTGATCAAATCCACAACCACCATCCCCATTTCGTTACAATCACTTTTAACATTATCCTTCCATCTACGCCAATGGATTTCGAGTATACTCTTCCCCTCAGGATGTCTAACCAAACGTTTGTATACATTTATCTCTCCCATGTGCTACATGCCCCGCCCATCTCATCCTCCCCAACGACATAATTTCTACCTTTCAAATCGTTATAATCTTATACTCTTCTCATTTAATCTGATGCTGTAGAAACACTTCAATTGAAACAGCGTAATTAAATTAACTAATCGATCAAGTTTTACCGTAGTTTGGAAATTAGTGTTCCCAAAAACGTCCTTTGCGTTTCAACAATGAAGTTACTGATAATCAAACTAGTCTCAAATGAACTATATGAATGAGACTATATTTAGCAAGTATATTGCATTTCTAAGATGTTGAACTATTTTATGATACCAATATTTTTCAGTTATAGATCGTGTTACATGAAACGGATTTGAGAATATAATCACTTATATTCTTCGCAAGATACTGATGGGGTGATTAAATCAAAATTGTTAAATGGGCAAGACACCTAGCACGTACGAGCTACGAGAAATGCATACTAAATTTTTTGTCTTAAAAACCTAAAGAAAGACAATGACTTGGGATATTTAGAAGTTGACGGGAGGATAATATTAAATTCGATTCCAAAGTAGGCCAAGTGGCGGGTTTTATAAACACGTAATGAGCCTTCAGATAAAAAAAGACTAACTGAACCACTACTAGCTTCTTAAGAAACACTATCTAACATGGAGTTAGTTATCTTTTTGTGTGTAAAACTGAATGAAATATTTCCATGTGTTTCACAAACACATTTCTCCAACTGAAATTTTAAACTATTTCGTGGGTACGCATAGCAAGCCTACAATATGAATTTTCGATTAATCGTGATTGTGGTTTCAGAAGCATGAGCTCGAGGGGGCTTATGGACCTTCCTACGACCACTCGAACATGATGATTGGTTGAAGCGTACACATACTTGTGTCCTGTAGATAGCGCTATCTGTTTCGAGGCCTCGGATTTGTGAAACGATTACATCTATAGTTTGGTCCAACACTTCAGTAAGAGTAACACAAAAAAACCGAGAAAGAAATTGCTCTTTTATTATCTTCCCTGTTGATTAAGGTTTATTTCTAATATGGATCCGTGATTGATAATTCATTATACTTCTATATTTTGATTCGGGAAAACTGAAGGTAACTGGTTATTTGGACAGGACGTAGGATAATGAACGGTTTAGGAGGGACTGAAAAATAACAGAAACACTGAATAAAAATCATAATTCAAACAAGTACCTCTCAAGTGCGTATCAGACACGTTTCATGACGTGATGTGTTTGTCATCAGTTCTTAAATAGAGACCTGCATTGAATACGACTGTCT